TTTTTTTTTTTTTTTTTTTTTTTTTTTTTTTTTTTTTTTTTTTTGTTATAGTATGGTTTTAGTCAGAGCATAAAATCATAACATGCGAGAGATCTTTTCACAGAGTTATCACATGAATTTGCAATAAAATTTGGAATATTCAATTTATTATTATTTAATTTTTGTTTCATGGAACACATACAGAAAGTTAAAAATCATTTGTAAGGCAAATTTTTGCGCTGCATCTGCTCTACCAATACCGTTGTAAGTTATCACCAGAGTGCATCATTTTTCAGTGATATTTAGGAAAGAGTCGTTAAAGCGTATGCTTAAAGAATTTATGAACATTTGCAGGAGGCATTTTCAATTAATTTTTATTTTACTTTCTCCTCATTGAACAGATACAATTTTTTTTTTTAATTTTAATTTGGCTCTATTTGCAAGGCGAATTTTCGTGCTGCTACTGCTCTAACGGTACCATTGCAAACTAGAAAAGCACTCCGAGAGCGCAGATCTCCGCCAAGGCAGCGATTTTTGATTATTATTGATTATTGATTGAAGAGACTAATCATCTCTTCCTTGGCCCACTTCTGACAGTTCCTGAAAATTTCATCAAAATCGGTCCATAACTATTTGAGTTATGTTGATGACAAACAAACAAACAAACAAACAAACAAACAGACAGTCAAACAGGGGTGAAAACATTACCTCCTTGGCGGAGGTAACTAACACATTTTCAATGATATTTTGGACAGGGCTGTTAAGATGTAAGTTGAAAAGAAATACTATTTTAGGTGTCCTAAACGATAACTGCCGTTTGTAATATCGAGTTGTGGTTTGTGATTACAAATACTGAAATCACTGGGCATGGATAATATTTCCCATGCGCTTGACATTTTATGAATACACCAAACCTTTGTTCAAAGGAGGCAACTTCATGAAGCATGAATTGAATAAAGCATATTTTTCACACTAAATGGCGGTCTTTAGTCACCTTAGACTTTTGACACATTTTACAGCACACTGCAACTCTGTATATATTTTATTATATATTTGATAACATACAGTCATATGTTTACTTACACCAAGAATGAGATGCACTGGGATGTAGAGACTAAATTGACAATTTCAGGCGAATGATGATCGATTTGCTGCAGACGACACATTAGGCCTACTGAATCTAAAGGAGACAAAGCCTAGGTCTTCGGGTAGAATATTGTATTTAGTAGTAGTCAGTCTTCTTGTGGAATGGGAGAAAGAAAAAGTTTAAATTATATAAAGATCCCCCTCAAAAAAGGTTATTTTTTAAAATCACCTTGGGGGTGGGGCAACTGCCCCCCCCCCGGCCCCCCCCCCGCCCCCCCCCCAAAAAAAAGCCTAAGGTCCTTGTGGTGAGCTCGATTCAGAAATGATGCTTAATATATATACACTTTTTTCAAATTTATCTTTAAAGGCATTAAGTGAAAATGGAAGTAGGCTACATGTTTAACATTTTTTTCTCCTTTCTCCTGTTATATATTCAGAAAGAGTGGAGTTGAAATGAGATGTCATAACTTTTGAAAATAAAGGAAAATCGGATTGATTGCATACATTGACTCTTAACTTTTCCACCTCAAACCTGCATGAAACATCGTTTAGAAAGTAATACCCCACAATAAAATTAAGTTTTTTTTTCTGAACTCACAATGTGAAAATTGCATATTGCGTTCTTTAGGCTCATCTATAGCAATGTAGTGACTTGGCTGTCTTCTCAACCACAATCACCGCTGTAACATCTGCTGTGACCGTAAACTTTAATCTGAATAGTAAACCAGTGAAAGAATATTTGCTGTTATTTAATTGATAGGTAGCAGAGAATAGCAGAACCGTGATAAGCCTTTAGAGGCTGCAGGTGCAGTTTTTTTTTCTTAGGTAATATCTTGCGGCGTTTATTTTTGATTTGGGATTTGAAGAATAAACGTTGGGAGTTCAAGTGTTTGAAGAGGGGTCAATATTATTTTTTAACTAAAAATAAATAAACAAACAAATAAATAAATAATCAATAAAAGTTTAATCGGAGCACTAGTTAATTAGCTTTACTAGCCATTTTATATTTGTTTAAAAGATTTCGGCATGTTAGAGTCAAATATGTCAGCGCCTTGCGACGTCTAGACCAGAAGACATAATAATAAAAGAAGACTCTTCATTCCGTTCTACTCGCTTAGAGGCGTACTGAAAGACAGTTCAATGACATACAAAACAAATTCCTTCAAATTGGACTTTGAACCCCGTCTGTTATTGTGTCGACTTTTTATACTTTCCGCTCACTGATTTCTTTTGCTTTGCTTTTCCCTGCAGACCTGCTTAGGAATAATTTGTGCGTTTTGCAGAGAAAAGTGTTGTCGACCGCCAAAGTCGACATACGGTGTGACTTTCTTTGTTTTCTGTCCGCCTTCTGATTAATAAGTTGTTTTTTATCCTATTTTATTTTCTGTAATACCCAATTTCCTTTTCACTATCCTTCTATTCGCGGCCTTACGTCATCTGAATAGATAAACCCTATCCCTCACTAAATTTTTATTGATGCCTTACTAAACCCAGGCTAATAACTATTCAATTTCATAAAGTTCTTGTAGCTAGTATGCCCTTTTTTTTTTTTTTTGGGGGGGGGGGGGGGGGGAGGGGGGCGACGTGACTGCCCCTGGGATATACTCAACTACGATACTATTCCTCCAATTTGAGAATAGCAAGAATTCTTTTCGCAAGCTTTCATCTTTTCTGTACTACATGTAATGTTGCACGTTTTGGGGTTTAAGCACAGAAGCCAGCTGATATAAAGCAGGCCTAGCAGATAACAATCACTCCAAAAAATCTGTCAAAGATCCATTTTTCGGGTCGCTGTAATATGAGCGACACCCTGATTTTCATTCACTACGACAACCTCGCACTTGATTGCACGTTCACTCGTCTAGAGCCAAGATAAACATTGCCGTGTTGATTAACCTCTTCATTTCATCCCTCTCTACAGGGAAATATAATCTACCAGAAAATCTTAATGAGACGACACCCAACCTTCTATATAGGATACCTGAACAGTGTGCATTATGAGATGTGTGTGTCACCCGCGGTGACTGTGACACTCAGGGTGCTCCTCGCTGAGACTTGACCTTTGACCCGTTGGAGATTCCGGGCCTCGCTGTGACGTTGGAGGCTTTTCCCGAGTTCGCCAGTCGCCGCGTGCAACCGGAGTAGTAGGAGTTAGTAAGTTAAACACGGTGTTCGAATCCGACGCCGGGTGACACAGTAAGTGCAACAGAGCGAAGGCAAAACTACTGTTCCGGCGGAAAAGACACCAGATCTGTTCAGAATTGAGACGGACTGGACGAAGCCGGTAAAGCTCGGATTTAGAAGGCCTACTGGATGGATTAACAAGCGAAGAAGGGGTAACTTCAAACGTGCATTGTTTTTGTGCAGGGATTCGTTCAGTTTGGAATTTCACCGGTCGGCAGCCGTTCGACCAGCTGAGCTCAGTTTTAATCTTCAAGACAGTGTTTCTTCAACCGGTCAGGGATATTTAAAGCTTCAGGATGGAAGTCTTGACTTTGTGTGCACAATTTGTGCTCTTTGTCTTATTTTTCTGCAGGGAAATTACAGCGATGGGGAACAGAATCGGAATGGGACTTGCCCCAGGAATGTAAGTAGTTGTAAAATTTGTCACTTAATTGTTCTGACTGTAAACAGTGCTATATCGGATTTTAGACGCGTTACAATGTGCTACATTGTGCTAGTCTAATTGATTTCACCAAGTTCAACTTGACAAAGCTAGAATCAAAGTTGAAAACTTAACTCCCTGGAAATATAACAATTACAACTTATTCCGAGTCTCTCATTCAATCTTTGAATACTTATAACTTTTCCCCACCCTCTTTCCAAACTTAGACTGAAGACAAAAATAGCAGTTAAACATTTCCTCCAAAATCATCCGTGGTGTTGGTTGCATGTTAGCACAGTATGTGATGCTTTTCACACCCAGCCTCTACTAGCTCTCATTTCTTTTGTAAAAAGCAACTCAAACCCAACACACTCCAAGCATGGCATGTGCGAAAAGAAAGAAAAATGTAAACCAGATTGTACCCTTGTGAAAGGCAAAACAGGGAGGTACAAACAGAACCCATTATACCGAAGCGAGTTAAAAATGTTGGTGTTTTTTCGCATACATAGACTCATTGTTGCCTGGGCATTCCTTCGTATTCACGTTGCATGGTATTAGTTTCTACAATAACTCCTCCATGTTGTTGTACCTGTATAACGCTAGGGCAGATATATTGAGGTGAAAATCAGTCCCCCTTGCTCCCGTGTAATGATTACAATAAACATAAACAACCCGGGGTGGGGGATTATTGGCTGGATGCATTACACTGTTTTCCCCAACACTTCAGTGTAGATGGGGATTAAATACGTATAAAATGCACTCCGTCTGCAGGCTGCCAGCTGTTTAAATTTCACTGTGCCAGTCAGGAGGCCAATTTCTACCCCTCCCCCTCCCCCCTCTTAAAGTCTACACAAGAATTTTAAAGAAAAGCTGCAAAATGTAAACGTCAGATTAGGAAGCAGTTTTTATGAGTTAACATCAGCAGTGTTTATTCTATAATGGGAATCATTATAGTTTACAGTAATAGTCCTACAGATAAAAAGAAGCCAATAAAAAACTGAAGGTCTTCCTAAGCAGGTCTTTCCATAATGACCTCTATTATTTATATGCTCTTATGTGAACTGCAGTCTCTGAGCTGATCTTTCAGCATAGTGTAAATCAAATGTTTTAAAATTCTTATATAAGGTTGGACATGGATAAGTACACAAATGCTAAAATGAAGGGATTAAAAAATGAGTTATTTTAAGAAGAAATCAAACTGACAGTGCGTAGGAGTTTTCAGTAAGGCTTCGTTCACATGCAATGTCTATTTTCTAAATTCTATTTTCTATTTGCGGCATGTCTTATGATCACGGTCTGTGCACTGAATATCCCGCCGCGTAATTACTGGCAGCGCGAGCCAGTTACTATAAGTAACTATAAGTAACTGGCTCGCGCTGCCAGTAATTACCTGGCGGGATATTCAGTGCACAGACCGTGATCATAAGATAGCGCGAATAGAAAATAGAATTTAGAAAATAGACATTGCATGTGAACGAAGCCTAAAAGTACACATGGAAAGCAGTGTAGTCAGAAAGAGCATTATATGTTGAAGGGGCCCTATAGAAGTAGTGGAGTGAGATTCCTGTGTCGCCAGTTTGACAGTTCCTCTAACTGGCAAGTAGTGGATTGTTATTTCAGTTTCTGCAATCTCGGGCTTTAAGATCGGCCAAAACAGTCAACTGTGGATTACCGTGGCCTTGATTAGTACTGACAAGTTTAAGGGAGACTTTAATTAGATTTCGATTGCTAAAGCCAGAGATCTCCAGTCCAATGTGGAAACTGATTCTGCCCAGGAAAATTTGAGATAAATTAGATTTCTTGCAAGTACATAATACAGTGTATAGTGAAGTCTGTTTAAACTGACTCAATGGGTGAAAAGTAAAGATATATTAGATTTCTCTGGGAGTACAAAACTGAACAGTTGATTTTGGAAACTGATGTTGGATACTGAATTGGACCAAGATAACTTCCCTTCCATGATTGGTATTAGTCTTGTTCACTTGTGTTCATTCAAAGCGAATTTAAATCGGTCTCCCTGAGGGATTTCATTTAGTAATAATTAAGTGAAAACCAATTATTAACACTAACAAATATGGTTTTGATATGATGCCCATGGAGTCTTTCTGAGTATATCAGTCTGATTACAATTTACTTATACTTTTGACACCATTTAGACCGAATTAGGTTGGTTTTCATTAAGACCAATGGGCACAGAACCTGGGATGCTGTTATGCAATCACAAGCTGATTTTAGAAAAATGATTCAGATCCAGAAAATTTCTGCTGAAATATTTCAATTTGTAATAGGAGCAAGGCTTCACTACATGGGTGAATTACAGGCACTGTGTGAAAATAGATAGATAAACAAACAAACAAACAATAGCCTCAGTAAATAAAGCTATAGGGTTGCAGTGGTCCGAGTGAAATGTAAATATTTGTGTCACTGCTCTGATGGGGTGGTGATTTTTCATGGATTTTTCTTTTGATTAAAAAAAATCCTTCTGGAATGCTATCAACCACTAACAGACTGTGAAAAAGTTTATAATAAGTTCTTTCGGTGACTAAAAAGGGAGAAATTACCAAATAGTTACTACAGATGATGATTAAAAATGAATGAATTTTGTAATTTTTTTAACTTCAATCTCCTGATTTTGTATTTATTTACAGGTAGAAATTTTACTCATTATCTTTGACCCACTGTGTCAATCTGCAATTTAATGGACATTGTATTTGCTGTCCCTATCCCGCTTTCAAAGGAAGCCGAACATAACAGCAATGTGTACTGTGCAAAATGGGATCTTAACTTTTCAAGAAATAATTGTTTGTCGTTTGTTATTTGCATCTGTATAGCAATGCCCATTAGTGGTTGAGTTATGGCCACGGAGGCACTGTTTGATTCAAAACTTGATGCCTCTCAACAATTGGATCTGGTTTTCCGCAAAAATGAGGGCCTGCGACAGAGTGTGAACAACACCTTGATAACAGCCAAGAAACGTGCTGGTCATGCTCTGGTTTCAGTTAGAAGGCTGTGTTACCCTGAGTTTCACAGATAGTGTTTAACTGTTAGTTGTAGCCTGGAAGGGGATGGCAGAGGGCACATTCAGAACAGCAGACTAATAGATCCACGGATCAGATATGGCTGACTCACTTGGATGCTTGTTGGGTAATTCCCGTGGGGAATCTATTCAATGTCTAATTAGGAATTAAGCGGCAAGCTTTTTAGTGACTCACCATATTTGATCCACAGATCTGTTAGTCCACTGTTCTGAATGTGCTCTGGGAAGGGATGGCTGAGGCATGCTGGGAATAGAGCAGAGTTTCCAGTGATCTCGGAACCTCAGGGTGGGGTGAGTGGGGTGGGGATGGGGTAGTTTCTTTTTCTTCTTTCATGCAGGTCACAAGTTATGTTGACTCTGTATAGCATCTGCCTTGCACTTGGGACTAATGAATTCCAAGTTGTCTTCGGTTGAAGACTAAAAATTTAGTCTACTTCGAATCAGTTACAGTAGCAGTATACTGCATAGGTGTCCAGCCTGCTTCACAATAAAGAGGGCTTATTTTAGTCAGATAGTAACTTCATATTCAAGATGTCAGTTTAAATTTGATTACTTTACCCCATGCTGTGAACTCCTGTATAATGCAATCAACTTATAATTTGTCTTGTAAATATGTAAGGGAATGAACTACCAGCACAAGTTGGGGAGAACAATATAAAGACTTGTAAATAGAGGAAATAGGAAATACTTTCTGGTTTTAGTGTCTAATGTGGTATGTCATTGGGTAGAAATAGCGGCTTTTCTGTAGGCATGTTGACACTGTGTGTTAGCAGTGTTTGCGCACCCAAGTGGCACAAATAGAGAGGTGTTATCAAACAAGCCATTGCTGAGGAAATACTAGTGTTTAACTGACTATTTGCATTACATGTGTGGTCTATGAGGCAGTGGCTGATGTAGGGGGCCTGGGTGTAGGGGGGTGGGGTGTGTCCTGACCCCCCCCCTTTTGGTGTCAGGAAAATATCATACCAATAATCCTCTCTTAATATTAGAATTCTGAAAACTGAATCATAGTTCTAAACTGCACAAAATGGCACTGTTTGGCCCCAAAACACCAAGCCCACACCAAGGGGGCAAGGGTTGGCTTTGCATCCAAGGCCTGTCATTCTTAAAAAGAAACTGGACCCTCCCCCCCCCCCCCCTTCAAATAATCCTGGATCTTCCCCTGTGAGACATTGCTCTGAATAGCAATTTTGGGAAATATGGTGTGAGAGAGCGTGAATATGAATGTGTGTGTGTGTGTGCATGTGTGTGTATATGTATGTGTGTGTGTGTGTGAGTGTGTGTGTGTGTGTGTGAGGGGAGGGTGGAGTGATTCACCATGAAATAATACAATTGGAATCAAAGTTATTTCTTTTTGGAAAGAAAACAAATCTCTGTGTGAAGATAAAATAGAGTCATGAAGCCAAAATAGAGTCATGAAGCCACAGACCCCCAACCAAGCAATAAATTTTCGGAAGTATTTTATCATTAATGGAACAATATCTGTTTGTGGAAATTTTGGTGATAGACTGCAGAAATGTGGTGCATTAACTCAAGATTGATGGAGAGGAAAACACAGGGGTAAAGGCAACATTACAGTCTTATATTATCACACCTTATAATGAGGGGTGTTAGGTTCTCCTAATCACTCTTTCTAGAGATTCACATAATGACGGGTATCAGAAGTATGTCACACCTCCTCTGACAGGCGACAGTGCTGTTCAGGTCAGAAAATGTTGGAATTAGATATTATCTGGGTCTGGATAGGTTGATCTTGTGTTCCTAATGAAAAAGAATTAAATATCTGACACTTTTCATTGAGAAAACTTTGGAAGTCATATTCAAACCCTGTGCTTTTCAAGGCAAAAGAAGTTGTCTTTCAGAAGTTTTCTTGTATTTGTGTGCACATCGTGGATTAATGGAATCAAATTTGGGTTATTGTAATTAACTTGTTTGTTATTCAGGCTAACCTTGTGCCCTATGAATCTTGCAATTTATATCTAAATTTTAGGCTGAATGTAGACAGACTACTCAAGTACAGGAAAACCCCATAGACATTGTTACTAAGTGACAGTCTATTGAAGTAAATTAACTATGGACCTGAAACACCCACTATTTATTTCACTTTATAAAACAGGTGCAATATTTCATTTAATTGGTCTGCTACTGATTTATCTTGGGTCAAAATATACTAAAAGTGTCATCTCAAAGTTAAGACCAACTTTTGATTAGATCAACAGTAAAGAAAGCCCCTAGTCTCCTCGTACTCCTGTTGTAAAGTGCATACAACTTGCTTAAGAGTTTTTTCACACTCACTAATAATCCCACCTATTCAATGGAGGTCGTAATTCTGATAGGCATGTGGTGATAATCTACACATCAAAAAGATTGAGGTGTATTCAGATATGAAAAACACATTTTTGTGATAACCAATTTTACCCGAGTTAATCCTTCCTTATCTGGAGGAGCGTTGTCTAGTATTAATTGAAGTCTGGGGCGGAGTGTGCTAGTGTACACTGTAAAATTTTCACAGGCCTTATGAACGGATTAGACCTTTACTATCACAACCTGCAGAACGTTTAGCACTAACACCCACATAACCCACAAATTAACCAGCACTACCAGAACAGATAAATGTTAGTGCTTGGTATCACTTTATTGGTGCTAAATAATTGTATGGTGGTTTGGCTAAATCATGGATTTTGTGCTTAATATGGGCCTTAGTACTATAAGATCTGCAGGTAGTGCTAGATAATACCTAATCCATTTATAAGGCCTGAAGTCACAGAAGTGCATTTTAGACCGACACGATTTATTTCAGTTTGGCTGACAAAAAGATAATGTCAATAATGCTGTCTTTTTTTTTTAATGGGTCAGACAGGGATGAGGCATATGTCAAAATCTAGATGCCAAGTGGGATTAAAAATTTGATGTCTACAGGTGTACTGAATTTATTTAATGACAGTTTTATAACAGAATTAGTTGACACGACGTGATTTGACTCAGACTGCCTGACTTTGTGCCTGGATTCCGCCCCCCCCCCATTCTATCTCTCTTGTAATACACTAAAGACAATTAATTATCCAGTCTTTCATGTAAGAAATTTCAAAATAGCTCCCATATAGGTTCAGTTTTCTGCAGCATCTTGCTACCCCATGTTATTTTTTTTCATAGGCATTAAAACAGTAATCATTTATGTCCCAATACTTATATATTTGACTACATTGATCTGATGACTGAACACTGACATGCATTTCAAAGTTAAGTCCTTAATGCTAGTCATCCAGCATTTTAAACTCAAATATTGATAATTAGCTTCATAAAAAGTTGACAATGCATGTTATTTATTATTCATGCTTATAGTGTATTGGGGAGTTATAAGAATCTGTCAGTGAGTCCCACGCATTAGAATGAGATTTCTTTCTTTTTTTTATTTTGATAGTCGTCAAACCAGAATTGGTGATTATCGCCATATTTTACATGAATTTACCACATTAACTGAAAGAGGATCAGCCATGCAGAGACCAAATTCACCATATAGCTCCCAGATGAAAGGCTTGTCAGTTTTTGCCCTTTGGGCCTTGTAGAATTTTAATTTGGAAGCACCCATATGGTTTTATGCATGCTGCACAGCAGAAAAACCACCATGCCTTTTAAAATTGAGGTCCAGTCTGACCATCAAAGTCATCAACTGACCCCATTCCCTAGCTGAATGGGTTGACCAGTTCCTTTCAGATGAGGGTTAGCGTGTGCTGGACATCACAACAAGGACTGACTGCCCTGGAGAGGGAGTGACCTATTTGTGACAGAGTGATGGACCCAGTTTCTGACTTCATATTTATTGAATACCTGAAATATTTGTACTACTATGCTATGTAGTGTAGTTTTGGTATGATATTAGATTGAGAGAGTAATATATTTTCAGAGTTAAATTTTGATTCATTCATCTAAGTGGGTGTGATTTGACAAATTGGGTATTTTTCCTCTAACCAAAATTAACAAAAACAGATCAAATACTAGTAGTAGTGGTAATAATAATAATAATAATAATAATAATAATAATAATAATGATGGTGATTATAATGATAATGATAATGTAAATGATAATAATAGAATGCTTAGGAGGAGCCATCAACTTTCTTAAGAACAGAAGAAGTTTGAAGTGTAATTTGAAAGACTGAAACAGGTTGCTTGACCTCTGCCGCTTTCCAAATAATACCAGCAAGTCAAGTGTGACAACAGCTGGTCATAGTCTTGATGATATCACTTGATAGTTATATTACTTAGCATTTGATATATAACTGGATGTCCAAAAGAGTCGGGGGGGGGGGGAGATAGGAGATATCTTGTATAACCCCATTGTCAGAAGATGTCAATTTAAATACCTGGTCTATGTTAGGCTTGGTGTGAATGCGACCTGCCAATGACAATCTTGACAGCTTTCCCTTCAAATAGGTAATATCGGGTCTCCTCTTATGAACACAATACCGGTAACGACAGGCACTTCTGTCTACAGATGAACAGCACTTAAAGGACACTTCTATCTTGAAGCTGATCTCCAAAATCATAAAGAAATCCCATTTAATTCCATCTTGATATGACGAAAACAGGATGACAGCTGAGTAGTTGGTGGATTCAGTACTCTAACAGCTATGTTGATCAAAATGGAGATAAATAAGATGCCATTTTATGGGTAATTCTATTGTTGACAGAAGTCATAATGGGTAACTGCTGTGATTTTTAGCCATTATGTCTGTGTTGGAATGTATTGTGACAAGTTAGAGACAGGTCTAGATTTTAGGATCCGTGGTTGCAGGGGTAGTGCTGGGGGGGGGGGTAGCTGTGTTTAAGATGCACTTCTTTTATAAAAATCTAGTTGAATTCCATAATGAATAGTGACACTTCAGCCTTTTTTAGCTTCAGGAACAATGAGGGATTTTGACATTTCTAAAAAATTTCGAGAAGAATCTAGTATGTATGACGTGTACTAGTAAGTGTATTTTGATGAGATTGTCTTACTGTATTGAAGTTACTTGGTCAGAGATATTATTACTCACATGCAAATGAGACTTCAGTGTCCTGTTATGAACTTAAAATGTCCACTCCTGCACTATATCACATAAAGTCTAGGTTACTTCAGTACAGGGTTTTTGGTTGTTCAAATAAATGGACACTGTGTAAGGCAAATAAATCACTGAACTGGTCAAGATTAGCAGTGGTAAACTGTCCAGTTAGTAATATATTAGGGTTGGTTGCTGGTCACTTCCTTCGTCCCTGTGGGCCCTCTCTCTAATACAGGGTGGATGCTCTTCCTGCTTTTTTTTATTTTGTCAGTGATAAAACATTTCCTTTCCTGTGAAAGTGACTTGGCTTGTCGAGTGCATCTTAATATTTTTGTCAGTGTTTATGTTTGTGGTGAGGAATTTGAAGTGGTGTGTGTGTGTGTGTGTGTGTGTGTGTGTTTGTGTGTTTGCATACAAAGCTTTTATGAAAATACCTGCAGCATGCTTTCTTTGATTTTAATGTTTTGTGATACATCTTTTGTTATAACAAAATAACAAAATATATGGAATTGAATCCCTATATTTAGTGCCTGATATACATTCTTTCATAACAGAATATTTCAATATTTTATTTATTTTATATAAATATTTTTCATATTTATATGGTTTCTCTCTTTATAATTGTATTTATAACCATTAATGCCATATATCTGAGTGTTTCTGTGATACATCCTTTCTGTACAATAAAATCTTCGAATATATCTGATCATTCAAATCAACTCATTTCAGGCCAAATGTGTGTTCGTACCAAGATGTGGAAACAGTTCCAATACAACAGCCGTGCATACGTGCATACCCGCGCATGGTCAAGGTGTGGAAGCCAAATTGCGGCTACATGAACAACTGGTGTGTGGGGTATGAACGGAGGTAAGATATATTATACATATATATGTATACTTTGTATGGAGTGGTTGCTTAAAACAACTTGGTTCATGAAAATTGGGCTTAAGTGGACATTCAGAACGAGTTGATCTGCAGACTAACAGGTCTGCGGACTAAATGTGGCTGACTTTGAATAATTACCTCATGGTCTCCCTGCCTCCATCAGCACCGTCACTGCAGGGGCCTAGCAATTAAACCTTGGAACCGAGGCAATGATTTGATTGTTTTTTTTTTTTTCTGAAAATCTGATGATCATAAAGCTATCCCCAGACCCCTGTAACAAAATCTCTCCTGTTCGGCCACCTTGAAGGAACTTTTTATGGAGTTATGGTTAAAATCCAACACGATCCTTGTTTTCTAATATCTTATTTCTAAATCTGTTTTTTTTTTCAAGGTGCAGAACGATACATGCCTTTATATTTGAAAATTGTGAACACAATTCTGATTCCCTTTGACAGTAATTTGATTCATGGACTGTAGAATTATATTTCATGAAGACCTCTAAATTACCCATATTACTGGCCAATGTGTGGACCTTCATGCTTGAAAAATACAAGAAACTGGTTGTAATATATAGTCTCTATGGCCAAGGTCAGTACTTTGATATACCCTTGCCCTTCAATTGCACTACCTAGTTTGAATTGCCCATTATTTTGTAGTGTCTATCAATCAAAAGCAAATGCAAAAAAAAAATTCAGAATACTTAGACCACCAGTGCTTATAAAAAAGCACATGGTAAATAAATTGATAGTTGTAAACCTATGCATTATCAAAGGTAAGGAACATCTTGTGTTGATTTCATTGCTCGATTCATCTACAGTATTAGTTTTTTCTGCCAGAAGGAAACAAACCTGTATAATCCGTGTTTTCTAGTCTGGTATGTTGAGTTTTAACAGATGGATTTTTATCAAACCACTGTGTCTAAACCAATTTTCATTGTAAAATCCCCCCAAACAAAAAAACAAAAATAAAAATAAAAAAGAGAGATGGCATTTCTCAAAGCACTACACCTAAACCCAGAGGAGTGAAATATGTAACATAATTTGTACATCCCTTTGGGCTTTTGACTTCATATAAAAACAGATCAGAAAGAATACAAAATTGCATGAGTGTGGTTATCATTAACACAAACTTATTATTTGTGTGTGTGTATTTGGATAAGAGAGGTGCTTTTTTACAGAAAAAAAAGAATTACTCACCCTATTTTCTGTTGTGCACAGTATTTGAACAGTGATTTATAAAAAAATGCCCTTCTACTAGCATACAGTTGACTTAGGGGCCAAAATTAGTCTCATATCCAGGTTTTAGTAACAGCAAGATAGGAGGAGGAGAAGTGTTTGTGTTTCTGCATCAAAGGATACCTGGATTCTTACTTGTGCACATCTTGGGCATTCCCCTTTCTTTTCCTGGTCTTGAGTAACAGTTCAATTAAGTCAGAGGAAGTGGGGGATATTTTTATGAGGTGTGAAATTTCTGGGGAATGCAGTGAGTTACCTGTATGTAAATCGGCCTTGACAGGTGTTTAATGATCCCAAATCAATCCATCAGAAGGATAGATTTGCTTCTTGTGTTTTAGGTGTTAAAACTTGTTCTTTTTCATAAGTGTTACCCTGTACTGTTAAACAAATAGTTATCCTGTACTGTTGGTCAATAAGGGTTACCCTATATCACTAGTATGGGTAATGTTGTTCTGTTATATACTATTACTTAATTAAATTAAATCATTGTACTAAATTGTGAATAATCAATAAAAAGTGTTGAAAGAATCTATAATCATGACTGTCCAACAGTCAGCAAATAAATGAATGCTTTCCAAGAAATAAATGAAATAGAAATTGATTTAAATTTGTCACAAGAATCAATTATTGCAAACGTCTCAGAAAAATGGTACAAACCAAATTTGGATGTACGTCTATTGCACTTGTATTTATACTGATGTAATAATTGCATGGAAAAAAATTATAAGCCATGATTCTGATATATCTCTAGAGACACTCTCAGCTTTTAATGCGTGTTCCATACTCCTTGTAATTCACACACCCTGAATCGATTTGAAAACTCACTTCAGACTGGAAATCAGATAGAAAGTCTAATTTGGAGTCCGAAGCTTCAGTTAGGACCTCCTCATCATGCTGCATTCCACCCACCATAATTGATCATTTAGCTGTTGGTTTTGCTGTTGCAACTGTCTTAAAGAATTGTCTCTTCATTAGTGCCACTTTGGCCATTGATTTCCTTATTAGGACTGCTTATCAAATTCTACTCTACAGGGGTTTTTAAGTCTTACAATAATAGCATACAAGAGGCATTCACCTTTTTAAAAATGAATAATGATATTTGTATAAAATACCTAGTATTTGAATGTCTCTTCAGATATGAAAACTGCCTTACTGTTTTTTTTTCTTTTTGGTTTGTCTGGTTGATTGTGAACACTTGAAAAACTTTGTATGACCTTGCTGGAAAACTGCTACCACATGTAGACTTACAAGTTTTACAGATCTTTTGGCAGATTCTGAAACACTGTATGCTTCTTTAAAAACCACTTTGTCCACTTCAACTATTACTTTGTCTTCTACACAGAACGTAGACTTGAAATTAAATAAGGGTATGGAAAGTATAGATTATTGTTTCTTCATTGAAAAATGTGAGAAAGAGAGGGAGATTGTGCATATTTGCATTATGTGAGTGTGTGTGTGTGCATTTGCATATGCATTTGTATGTGTATGTGTATGCATGTGTTTTGTATATTAGAGAGGTAGAGTTACCAAGATCCCCCTTCCTTCAATCAAAAACATACATGTGTTCAAAATGTGAACACAACAACTACATTATTGAAGAGTCAGTTCTTCTTAAGAGAGTTAAAAAGAAACATGCCAGCCTGCATTGAAAAAAAAAGCCACATTTCTCTAGACCCCCAGAGAAAGCAGTGTATTTCCTATTCGACTATGAAATACATATGGAGGAGGTGTGCAAGCGGAGAGATACAGGCAGTAGAGAGAAGATACACAGCTCTGTGATACCATTGCCAGACGGTGTTTCTGTAACCAGCGTGTGCAGTTGATCTTGTCCACGGGAGGGCGGGGACGTCTGTGGATTAACAAGGTAATCGCACAGTTCTCCAAGGCAACTGTTCCTTCATTGATACAGTGCTCGTCAGCTGGCAGACACATGAACAAATATGTTCCAGAGAGGTTCCTTGCCCACGTTTGCCCTCATCAAACCAAAAAGGCTTAATTCACAGGACAGATTTTGTTAGATTTAAAAGCTGATGGTTCCAGCAATAGATGGACCAGTCATGCCTGTTTTGGGTTATAAGCACGGTTGGTGACCCAATGTATAAATAGTGTCCAATAAAATGATGAATTGAAGGATTTTGTGGAATGACTCGACAGTATTTTCACACAAAAATGAACTTTCATATCTGTCTTTTTAAATAGAGAAATTAATTGAAGTTTGACACGTTGTTCATCTCTCTTGTTTAAAAAAAGATTGACTTCTGTTGGAGATTATATTTTTAATAGGTGAAATGTAGCCTAAAGGAAGTCACTCAAACATGAAAAAAGAAATGGTGAACAGAACAATGAATGGACAATGAAAATAATTGTTAAATCACTTGCTCTCAAAGCCAAACAAGAAAAGACAAAGGTTCACATTGAGACATTTTTGAGCACCTGAAAATGTTTGACCGGAAAACCAATTAAGTATAAACATAATTGCTTATTTTTGCAACTCGAGGGTTTTTGGAGAAGGAAAGAAGGTTCATTGAGTGCAATTTAAATGGCAGGTTATTCAGTACTGACAAACTTTTTTTGTCTCTGCATGGCAACATGGAAAAAAAAAGAAAAAGAAGGCTTCCAGACTTCATGCCAGTGTTGTGGTTTCCTTCCTGCATTATTACCAATACTGTTTCTGGAGATGAAAGGAGAACCTGATTTTTGTTAAAGATTTTTTTTTTTTTTCGAGGATCAACATCAGCTTTGCAGCATAGCTTTCAAACTTGTCAGCCTATATGCCCTTCCACAATTTTGAAAAAATCTGCAAGAAAATTTTAAATTGGAAAGAAAAAAGTTGTCTAGCTGTAAATCAGTTGGTGGCAATTTTCAAGATTGGTATCAAAGATATCTGTTATTGGTCTTTCTCCTGTACTGTGAGTTTTGTTGTAGTGAAGAAAAAACGTTTAAAATGGTTTTTATCAGCGAGTTTTTTTCCACTTTCTTCTGAACCACTCTTTCCCATGCAGATTCACACACATATGTTTAAAATGTGTAGTCCATTTAGTTTAACTGGAAATTAACAAAATGGCCTCCAGATATAAGTCAATCCTATTTCTCCCACCTTTTCACTTGTCTCTTACATTAAAAGCTGGGAGAAACCACCAATTGGTACTAATTTCTGTTGAAGAATTTAGCAAGAGTTTGGCCAGAAGGACTTTCTGCAATGTTACATTTTGCCAAATGCTAAAACAAAATCAATTCGATGAAAATTACGTTACCATAAGGCAATTTTGTTGAGATAATTGGCAGTGTGGCACCTACTGGTTCAGGATTTCTGAGAAGAGGTTGATGAGTGTTGGGGGGGGGGGGGGGGGCCACAAGACTGAAAGAAATTACTTGTTCTCCTGGGTTTAGCACTGAAAACTAAAGATATAAAGGAAACTTCTGTCTCCCCCCCCCCACTCTCCCTTTTATCATGTTTTGGGTTAAATACTACTTTCCACTCAGTTATCACTGTTCAGTACAAGACTGATGATGGATCAATGAACAGAAATGATCTCCAATGAGAATTCAATTGTTTTTCATTGTTTTAAGCTAAACTTATTCATCACTTGGTATTCCAAACTCCAGAATGGCTGCTTGCTAAGTAAAAGCTTGAAGGTAAAAATTGATATCTGTGAAAAGCAAGTTTTGAAAAGCAAGTTAGTGCAAATTGATGTTGTAATCTCATTGCGGCTTGTCAACTTTACTGCAGTGCGTGTCATGATTGCC